AACAACTCATAGATGCCATCAATTCTCAGCCAAATTCTGGTCAAAAGTGGTCATCAGATGAGAGCCAACCGTCGGATCACTATTTCATATACAACTCGAGCGAAACAATTGATGTGCAAAAAGCTGTAGCCATTTGTCGCCAAAGAGGTCTTCACTTGCTTTCCGTAGACAACAAAAACGCGGACAACTATTTGGTGGATGTGTTGACCCAATCATCGCCGCAACTCTTTTGGATCCGTTTAAGTAATCTACTGAAAGACAACAGCGTTTACCGACTCGAAGGCAAATACAATACGAAACACGAGAAGAGCCGCAAAAACTCGGTCAACAAATTGGACAAAAATTCGGACATTAAATGCGTTACGATTGACACCGAGAGTGGACTCTGGACGGAGAGCCGGTGTTTGGACAGCGCCTATGGGTTCATGTGCTCCAGAGTTGACCACAAGAGACGGCGGATCAAAAAGATTGTCGACCGTAAGAGTTATGATAATAATTTGAAATTATTTATTCAATATATAATTTTAATTATTCTCTGTTTATCAGCCGTTGTCGAGACTCAAGTGGTCGTAAGGCCTGTGCCTACTGTTGAGCCGCAACCAGAGCCCAAACAATGCAATATTTCGCGACAATTATGGGATAATAGTGTAAAATACGGTGACTTTTGTTATCTATTTATGAGCCAAACGGTCAGCAATTGGGCCGACGCTGAGGAGGAATGCCAGCGAATGAGTGGATCTAATCTCGCGTCGATCGTAGAGCCCGACGAACAAGAGTTTATCGCCAGTTATGCCAAAACCCGCACAAATGTCGACCACTTGTGGATCGGTTTGTTNCAGCAATTGGGCCGACGCTGAGGAGGAATGCCAGCGAATGAGTGGATCTAATCTCGCGTCGATCGTAGAGCCCGACGAACAAGAGTTTATCGCCAGTTATGCCAAAACCCGCACAAATGTCGACCACTTGTGGATCGGTTTGTTTGGGACACAAAACTCATCGCTAACGTGGTTTGAATGGACAGACGGCCAGTTCGTTGACATTACCATTTGGGCCGCAAAACAGCCCATTATTAGCCCAAAGGAGACTCACAGCTGTGTGTTTATGGACAGGGAGTCCGGCCAATGGAGTACCGGCTTGTGTTCAGACAGCAAACCATTCATCTGTAAGACAAGCGACACATTCACAGCACCAGAAGAGGAGGACAGCGGCCGACTCACAGTTGTGTGTTTATGGACAGGGAGTCCGGCCAATGGAGTACCGGCTTGTGTTCAGACAGCAAACCATTCATCTGTAAGACAAGCGACACATTCACAGCACCAGAAGAGGAGGACAGCGGCCGTGATGTTTGTCCCCAATATAACGCACAACAAGAGTCGGCCCTAAAATGGGTGTCATTTGACAAGACATCGGGATCTTGTTATCTGTTTAGCTCAGAGTTTGAGCCAAACCTATTGAGGACAACGTGGGCGGAAGCGTCGGACAGATGCCAGTCATTGAACGCCAGCCTAATGTCTGTCCACTCCTATAACTTCGATACTGTGCTCAAAATGACGGACAAAATACGGGACAACACATGGATTGGTTTGCATGAGACTGACGTCGGTATGTGTTATGGCATTTCTGTCTTAAAAGACAAACAAACAATTAATTTAAATTTTTAAATCTATAGATCGGTACGAATGGGACGACGAGTCGGCCGTAGACCTGACGTATTGGGCGGACAGCGCCGGACACGACACGAAAAGCGATGGAAAAAAATGTGTGTCAATGAGACGGGAAACCATGAAGTGGTCGTTGAGTCCGTGTTTTAACGATTCACACGTCTATGACTTTATATGCGAGACACGGAAAGGGCGGCCACCGAAACGCAAGGGATCGG